CTAGCCTTGAGCTGAAGAGCTGAGGGACAGCGCCCAGGCCCAGAGTTCAGGCCCCACGACCGGATTCCCCCCCCAAAAAAAATCTGTGGGTAAATTTGGTAGCATGACATTTTGTTCACTTTATGGATTATCTCCTTGTATAGCCAGCCAAAAAGTTTGTTTTTCCTGTCTTAAGTTTTAGGTAGAATGTGAAAAAAAAAGAAAACTCAGATATAAAGTGGCATGTGACTAGAAAGAGACCCAAAGATAGTAGGCTGATCACTGGAACCTGGAAAGTGACAGGCATGAAATATGAAAGACATGTGAGGACTACAATGCTGAGGCTCCAGCGGGCATTCTAAGGATTTGTGGAGGGTTTTGTGTGATGACACAGGGTCCTTGTATATTGTCTAGGCTACCCCTGAACTAGGCTCAAGCTATCCGTCTGCCTTAAGTAGCTGGGATTACAGACTTGTTCTATCACGCAAGGCATATTTGGATTAGGCTCACATTCCTTAATATAGGTATTGGGAAGGCACAGAAACATTTTTTTTAAATTTTTTTGTTTTTTTGGGTCCGGTCGTGGGGCCTAAACTCTGGGCCTGGGCGCTGTCCCTCAGCTCTTCAGCTCAAGGCTAGCGCTCTACCACTTGAGCTGCAGCGCCACTTCCGGCTTTTTTCTTTTTGCTTATGTGGTGCTGAGGAATCGAACCCAGGGGCTTGAGCATGCAAGGCAAGCACTCTACCACCTAGCCACCTTCCCAGCCCCAGAAACATTTTTAGTATGATGGAATTGTATTTGAGAAAGGTGATTTGGGGCTGGGGATGTAACTCAGTGGTAGAGTACTTGCCTCGCAGGCATCGGGGGAGTTCATCCTGCCAGGTATAGGTCAGCCTAGTAGGGAAACCTAGTTAGGAATCTGTTGCAGTATTGCAGTCTGCAGAAGATACCTGCTGCATTGGACAGTATGGGGAAGAGGAGATGATCACAGGGAGACTGCAGAGACAGTTGAGGAAACTAGTGATTGAACTGAATATGGGTGATGAGTATTTAATGAACTTAGTTATCCTGAAGTGAAACAAATTCACCTTTTCTTTGTATTCTCAGCATAGGTGACAGTGTTATTTGAAAGTCTTATGATTTAGACATTACTTAAAGTCAGAGTTTTAGTGTGTTAACTTGCACATATTTTAAAATTCTGATTCTAAAACATAATGACCTTTATACATAGGAAGGAAATAAATAAGGATAAGGTAGGAAATGTCAGCACTTTTCTGTTGTAGTCTTGTGTGTGTGTGTGTGTGTGTATGTGTGTGTGAGAGAGAGAGAGAGAACACTAGTACATGTGTGAGCACATGTGTGTGAGCGCGCACATGCCAGTCCTGGAATTTGAATTCAGATCCTGGGAGCTGTCCCTGAGCTTTTGTGCTTAAAGCTAGCACTCTTCCACTTCAGCTGCAGCTCCACTTCTGGCTTTTTTTGATGGTTAATTAGATATAAGAACCTCACAGACTTTCCTGCCCAGGTGACTTTAAATTGTGATCCTCAGATCTCAGCTTCCTGAGTGGCTGGGGTTACAGGCATGAGCCACTGGTTTGTATGATGTATTTGAAATCCTTGAGATCAGAAATATTTAGAAATTTCTTAATTTGAAACTTTTAGAAAAACTTTTTTTTTTTGTCGGGCATGGGGCTTGAACTCTGGGCCTGGGCGCTGTCCCTCAGCTCTTCAGCTCAAGGCTAGCACTCCACCACTAGAGCCACAGCGCCACTGCTGGCTTTTTCTGCTTATGTGGTGCTAAGAAATCAAACCCAGGACCTCATGCATGCAAGGCAAGCGCTCTACCACTGAGCCACCTTCCCTGCCCATTAGAAAAGCTATTTTATATAGATATCATGTATCATTCTTAGAGGTATCTGAGATAGTATCCTGTAATGAAACATAAATATTTCTATGGTAAAAATAAGCTGGGCGGGGCTGGGAAGGTGACTCAGTGGTAGAGTGCTTGCCTTGTATGCATGAGGCCCTGGGTTCAATTCCTCTGCACCACATAAGCAAAAAGAAAAAAGCCGGAAGTGGCGCTGTGGCTCAAGTGGTAGAGCACTAGTCTTGAGCTGAAGAGCTGAGGGACAGCGCCCAGGCCCAGAGTTCAGGCCCCACGACCGCCAAAAACCACCAATTCATACTGGGCTGGGAATGTGGCTTAGTGGTAGAGTGCTTGTCTAGTATGCATGAAGCCCTGTGTTTGATTCCTCAGTACCACATAAACAGAAAAAACCAGAAGTGTGCTGTGCCTCAAGTGATGGTGTGCTAGGCTTGAGCAAAAGTAGCTCAGGGCCAGTGCCCAGGCCCTGAGTTCAAGGCCCAGGACTGGCAAAAATAAATAATAAAATAAATTCATACTAACTTTAAGAAAATTAAAGGCTGGGGCTGGGAAGACAGCTCAGTGGTAGAGCGTGTGCCTTGCATGCCTGAGGTCCTGGGTTCTATTCCTCAGCACCACATAAGCAAAAAGAAAAAAGCCGGAAGTGGCGCTGTGGCTCAAGTGGTAGAGTGCTAGCCTTGAGCTGAAGAGCTGAGGGACAGCGCCCAGACCCAGAGTTCAGGCCCCACAACCGGACCCAAAAAAAAAGAAAAAGAAATCCAAAGTCATGGGCTGGGAAGGTGGCTCAGTGGTAGAGTGCTTGCCTTGCATGCATGAGGCCCTGGGTTCAATTCCTCAGCACCACATAAGCAAAAAGAAAAAAGCCGGAAGTGGCGCTGTGGCTCAAGTGGTAGAGTGCTAGCCTTGAGCTGAAGAGCTGAGGGACAGTGCCCAGACCCAGAGTTCAGGCCCCACAACCGGACCCCCCCCCAAAAAAAAAAAGAAAATAAAGGCTATGACAGTCTCAAGACAGATTTGTTATCTTAATAGTTCTGAGTAAACTTGGGGTTTTTAAGGCTTTTTGCACTTTAGAATTGTAGGTAAAAGATTATAGATGCATATTTGGACAGTAATGACCACTATCTACTAAAGAAGGCTCCAGAAGTAAAAAGACAACTGTGAAAAACACCAAGCATATTTGAAGTTTTTTTTGAGACAAGTATCACTATATTAAGCTTGAGAAAAAATATTTTAAAATTCTAAAATATTTAGAATTCACATTTGTTCTGTAATAAGTGGCCTCAAAAATACAAAACAAGGGCTGGGAAGGTGGCTTAGTGGTAGAGCGCTTGCCTTGCATGCATGAGGCCCTGGATTCAATTCCTTAGCACCAGAAGTGGCACTGTGGCTCAAGTGGGTGGAGCGCTAGCCTTGAGCTGAAGAGCTGAGGGACAGCGTCCAAGCCTAGAGTTCAGGCCCCATGACTGACCCCCCCAAAAAAAATATATATATATAAGAAAATGGTAAACATCTGAAGAAATGAAAATACCTGAGCTTCATTACACTTGGTGACTTTGGATTAGAGGCGTGACTCAGATTGGTAAAGCACAAGCTGAGCAAGAAAGCTGAATAAGAGTGCAAAGCCCGGAGTTTAAGCCTCAATACCAGCACAAAAGCAAAACAAAACATACATCTAGTGGTTTTATCAATTATCTTTAATTCTGGGGCAAACTTTGGTAGATAGTGCTATAATGCTTATCATTGTCCAAGTAGATCTATAGTCCCTTTCCTTAAATATTGATAGCTCTTAAATATATTAAATTTTTCTATGGCATACTAAATTTATTTTAGGTATGCAGATACTTTATTTAAGACATCTGATATCAAATCAGACAGCTTGGAGGATCTATGGGAAAATCTCAGTTTAAAGCCTACTAATTCCCCTGGTGTAAATATGTCTGCAACTTTGTCTCCACAAGGTAAGCTAATGATTCAAAATATGAAATAGAACACTCACTTGAAATAAAGCTGCTTAACAATATGTACTAAGCCACTAATTAAAAAATAGGAAACTGGGAAAAATAAAATAAAAATAAAAGTGTTTACAATTTTTCAGTCTTAGCCATGAGCCAGTGGCTCACTCCTTAGCTACTCAGGAGGCTGAGATCTGAGGCTTACAGTTCAAAGCCAGCCTGGGCAGGAAACCCTGTTAGCCTCATCTCCAGTAAACCACTAGAAAATGGAAGTGGCACTGTGGCTAAAGTGGTAAAACACTAACCTTGAGCTGAAGAGCCGGAGGCAGCGCCCAGGCCCAGAGTTCAAGCCCCACAACCGACAGAAAAAAAAAAATCAGTCTTAACCTTTATTAGAATTTAAATATTCAAGGCACAAAAAGAGGGCACTATGTATTAAAGCTGTTTATATTAAATTTTTTAACAGAAGTCTATTATCTTTTAACAAATACATCAGTGTTAGAACTCTTGAACACAGACTGTTGTCCTATCAATTGGCAGAGGTTCAAATCTCCAATGTTTGGCATGCATATTCTCACTTAAATTGTGATGTTTCTTTCCCTAAAATTTTACTAGGTTAAATAAAAAAATTGTTACATTAAAATTTTCTTAACTAAAGCATTAACAGAAGTCTTGCATTCTAGTTTCCCTATGACAATGGAATGCATGCTAAGGATTTTTATTTCCGCCCTTCTTTCCCCATCTCAGTTGTGGGAACCCTGAGTGGCATAATCTGCAGTCAGTAATTTCAGTTTTTAAATGGAATGAATCATTCTTTCTTCCAAATTCCTTTTTAACATGTTATATGACTTGATCACTTATCTCTTGACAGATTGCTTTATATAGTATAAAGAATGAGAAGAATTTTTGTTGTTCAAAAAGTCCATTCGCCTACACTTTAAACAAATCTTTAATTGTTTCACTTTGTTATAAGAAAGCACTTCATAAGTTTGGCTTTTCCTTGCCTCTTTCTCTCCCCCCACCACCGTTTTTCTTTTTGGCCACAAATTTTAACAGCTTAGACTTGCCTAGACAAATATTGTGATGAACATTTAATAACTATTGTTACTTTTGACCTTGTCATTTTTTCCTGTGTAGTTATTAATGAAGTATGGCAAGAAGAGACAATTGGGCGTCTATTACAACTTGTAGACCTTCCGTTTCTTGACTCTTTACTCAAACAAGAGGTGGTACCTAAAGTTCCTCGACCTAAGAGGCAGTCTGACCTGGTCAACAGCAGTAACTATCTGGATCGAAGGATTCTCAAGGCTTATAGTGATTCTCAGTATGTATAAATACTGGTAATAGTTTTAGGGTGTTCGTAAGTAGATTATAGATTATGATTTTAAGTTACTCTTTTGAATTCTACCCATGGGCTTAGCTATGCATTGTCAGTTGTTGATATCAGTATTTGAAAAAATGAAGAATAAAATTATACTTGCCAAAGTTAGAAAAAGATGCTATTTCATTATTCACATTCATTTTTTAGTGAAAATGAAAAAAATTATGCTCCATGTTATCTTTGTTAAAATGAAGAACTACATAGTCTCTTAAAATTCTTTAAGGACCTGAAACAAAATGAACAGATTTGATAATTCTTGAAATCTTTTCACTACATAGGTGTTTGTGCATGCGCATGTGCATACATTTATATACATGCTCCTTGAATTCAGGGCCTGGGCACTGTCTTTTATTTCTTTTGTTCAAGTCTAGCTCCCTACGACTTGAACCACAGCTTCATTTTGGCTTTTTTGGTAGTTTATGGATTTTCCTGTCTGGGGTGGCTTCAAATGGCAATCCTGAGATCTCAGCCTCCTGCGTAGCTAGGATTACAGGGTGCCTGGCTACATTGGCTCTTAATATTCCTCTAGAATGACCATCAGGTATTTTCTTTTCTTTTTTTTTGTCAGTCCTGGAGCTTGAACTCAGGGCATGGGCACTGTTCCTGAGCTTCTTTTGTTCAAGGCTAGCACTCTACCATTTGAGCCACAGCACCACTTCTGGCCTTTTCTGTTTATGTGGTACTGAGGAATCGAACCCAGGGCTTCATGCAGGCTAGGCAAGCACTCTACCACTGAGCCATCTTCCCAGTCTCCTATTAAGTATCTTCTTTTTTGGGGGGGGGTCAGGTCATGGGGCCTGAACTCTGGGCCTGGGCGCTGTCCCTCAGCTCTTCAGCTCAAGGCTAGCGCTCTACCACTTGAGCCACAGTGTCACTTCTGGCTTTTCTTTTCTGATTATGTGGTGCTGAGGAATCGAACCCAGGGCCTCAGGCATGCAAGGCAAGCGCTCTACCACTGAGCCACCTTCCCAGCCCCCCATTAAGTATCTTCTAATTAACTAGTTTTACTAAAGAAATACAATGAAAGTAACTCACCATCATAACATTCTGAATATAAACCTTAAGATTTTAAAGACTTAACCCCAGGTACTTAGAGAATAAAGATTTTTTCCCCCCTTAAGGAAGAGTTTTGTATTCCTCATAACTTTGAATAGTCTTAAGGTTAAAATAAGTTCTCTGTTTCCAGTTTATTTAATTTTAATGATCCTCAGCAGATAGTGTTCCAGACCAGTTAAGGAGATGAAAGTATTGAAAGGAATACAGGTTACCTTTATAGCACTGGCTTCCTAGTTCTGCATTCTAGTCAACTGTTAATATAAAGAGCTGAAGGTCAAAAGGGATTTCAAACTTTATGTGACAAAGTAATTTTTAGCATACCAATATGCCCTATAATAGGAAGCTTATTTTACAAGTTTACATTTCTAAAACATAAATAAATGTGCAACAACAGTTTATTACTTTTTTACATAGATACAGAATATATGCTAGAAATGACCCTACAGGTTATCTAGCTGCATCTTTTTATGAAATAACTTAGCTTGCCTACGAGGTGAAGAGACCTGCCTAATAATTCACCTGGGTCTTGGAAGAATTAACTGTCCTGAATCTATGGTAGTAGAGGATGTGATTCTTCAATAAATATGTTAACAAACTGAAAATTGTTTTAGCCATTTCCTTTGTTAAAATGTAACACTTTACTGAAATTACATAGCTTCTATTCACTAGTTATGTAACCAATATTATTCTTTTTGAAAATCTATCTTCTTGTGTCCTACCTAGCTAAAATGAAATGACAGATAATACACACAGTTCTGAAGTTAGCAACATTGTATTGCAGAAGCTGTGCTGGAGGAGTCAGGTCTCTGGTCCAGTTCTGCCTGGCCTCTGAGCAAGCAATGTGGAATTCTGGATATTCATTGTAAATGTAAAGAATAGTTTGAGGCTGAGGTGTTGCTCCGTGGTAGAACACTTGGTAGGCAAGGTCTGAGTTGCAGATCCCAGTATGGCAAGAGAGAAAGAGAAACAGCGTAGAAATGTATCCTGTATCCTGATGGCAAGCTTGAAATAGCTAATAAATTAGGTATTATGCATATATTTGGTATTCTTTGCCTTTAAAAATAATCTTCCTCTTGCCATCCTAGGGAAGATGAATGGCTCTCTGCAGCAATCGATTGCCTAGAATATCTTCCAGACCAGATGGTGGTGGACATAAGCAGAAATTTTCCTGAGGAAGCAGACAGAACAGACTTAGTGAAGGAACTTCTGTTTGATGGCATTGCCAAATATTATGGTAGCAGAGAACCACTATTAAATCACTTAGCTGATGTTCATAATGCAATTGCGGAACTCCTAGGTAAGTAGGATATTCGATTTTATATATTTTTTATTATAAAGGTGATATATAGAGGGGTTACAGTTACATGTGTAAGGAGGGTAAAGAGTATATTTCTTATATTTTGAAGGAAACAAAAATTCAGTTGTCTTGAAAATTAGGCAAATAGTACTCCTTCAAGCTGGGAGTGGATCTGGATAATTCCAGCACCACCACCCACCCTTCAGTCTCTTCAGAATGGCCAACATGGAGACTGGGAATGTAGCTTAGTGATTGAGTGCTTGCCTAGCATGCATGAAGCCCTGGGTTCAATTCCTTAGTACCATATAAACAGAAAAAGCCATAAGTGGCGCTGTGGCTCAAGTGGAAGAGTGCTAGCCTTGAGCACAGAAAGGCTCAAGGACAGTGCCCAGACCCTAAGGACTAGCAAAAAAAAAAGAGAGAGAGAGAGAGAGAGAGAATCTCAGAGTTTCCAACACTCCACTCTGCTCTTCTCTGTGACCCAGACTTCATGATTTGTTCCAAACAAATTGGGGATTTTAGAAAATCCCTTCTATTTTGTCTTAAGTAGAGCTGGATATAACAGCATCATATACCATACTTTCCAAATGTATTGAATTAATGAAAAACATAGTCTGGGAATTTACAAAGCCAAAACTGGATTTAATACCCAAAGATATTACATGTCAAGGACTTAAACTTAGGGTATTTGTCGCCAATTTGAGAACAGGCTGCCTTTATAACATTGCTCATTCATTTTAATTTCAAGTCTGGTTCTTGTTTTGGAAATAATTTTACATAAGTATTCTATTTAATATATTCATACTTAGTCAATTAATTTTTTTCTCTTTTGGCTAAAGTAAATGGAAAGACTGAAATAGCGTTAGAAGCTACTCAGCTCTTTCTGAAGCTTCTGGATTCCCAAAATAGAGAAGAGTTTAGAAGACTACTGTATTTCATGGCCATTGCAGCACATCCTTCTGAATTTAAATTACAGAAAGAAGTAAGTGCTGTTTAAATGTTAATTATATTCATCAGCCTTCATATTGTAAGACTATTTTATCTTCAGCATCAAATATGTTAAATTGATGATAGCTATTACATTTCATACTCCCTTAATACTAAACTTTGCCTTTTAAATATGTACTATGGGTGTGTTTTGTTTTATTCTTACAGAGTGACAACAGAATGGTTGTGAAAAGGATATTCTCAAAAGCTATTGTCAACAATAAAAATTTATCCAAAGGCAAAACTGACCTTCTGGTACTCTTTTTAATGGATCACCAAAAAGATGTTTTCAAGGTAAAACTCTGACAGTAGTTAAATTGAACATAATTATAATAAATGATATGTGTAGATTAAAATGCATTTGAATAATACCCTGTTTTCCTTTTTATTCTTTTTTTAAAGATTCCTGGAACTCTACATAAAATTGTCAGTTTTAAACTTATGGCCATACAGAAGGGAAAAAATCCAGATAAAGACATAGGTAATCTCAGAAATAATTTTTTTTTTTTTGGTCGGTTGTGGGGCTTGAACTCTGGGCCTGGGCACTGTCCCTCAGCTCTTCTGCTCAAGGTGAGCGCTCTACCACTTGAGCTACAGCGGCACTTCCAGTTTTCTGGTGGTTTTATTGGAGATAGGAGTCTCACGGTCTCTCCTGCCCGGGCTGGCTTTGAACAGATCTCAGCCTCCTGAGTAGCTAGGATTACAGGCGTGAGCCACCAGCGCCCGGCTAATCTCAGAAATAATTTTATGATTTTTTTTTTTCCTGCCAGTTCTGGGATTTGAACTCAGGGCCTGGGCACTGTCCCTGAGCTGTTTTTGCTCAAAGCTAGCTCTCTTCCACTTGAGCCATAGTGCCACTTTTGGCTTTTTCTGTTTGGGTGGTACTGAGGAATCAAACCCAGGGCTTCATGCATGTTAGGTAAGCACTCTACCACTAAACCACATTCCCAGCCCATTTTCATGATCTTCCAAAGATGAATTCCTAATGTTTATTTGAAAGTATTTTCCCGATAGCAGTTAATTGTACATTCTCCTCTGAGTTTTCATTCAAGAACTTTTTTTTTTTTTTTGTGGGGGGGGGGTCCAGTCGTGGGGCCTGAACTCTGAGCCTGGGTACTGTCCTTCAGGTCTTCAGCTCAAGGCTAGCACTCTACCACTTGAGCCACTACACCACTTCCGGCTTTTTTTTTTCTGCTTATGTGGTGCTGAGGAATCGAACACAGGGCCGCAGGCATGCAAGGCAAGCGCTCTACCACTGAGCCACCTTCCCAGCCTTCCTCTGAGTTTTCAGTATTGAACAGAGAACCTGCTATATCAAAAAACAACTTGAGCCGGGCACTGGTGGCTCACGCCTGTAATCCTAGCTACTCAGGAGGCTGCAATCTGAGGATCATGGTTCAAAGCCAGCCTAGGCAGGAACGTCTATGAGACTCTGGTCCAATTAACCACCAGAAAACCAGAAGTAGCATTGTGGCTCAAGTGGTAGAGCACTAGCTGAAGAGCTCATGGACAGCGCCCAGGCCCAGAGTTCAAGACCTACAACCGACAAAACAAGCAAACGAGGTTGGAGGCGAGGCTCAGGTTATAGGGTACCTGCCAGTGAGTATAAAGTGGTAAAAGTTTGAGTCCTATCTCAGACCAAAACAAAAAAACAAAACAACCAACAGGTCACTCTGCTGATTAGTCAGAATTGCACAGAAAAACATAAGTGTAGATATTCCTTGGGCCAGGAATGTGGCTTAGTGGTAGAGTGCTTGCCTGGCATGCATGAAGCCCTGGGTTCAATTCCTCAGTACTGTATAAACAGAAAATGCGAGAAGTGGTGCTGTGGCTCAAGTGGTAAAGTGCTAGCCTTGAGCAAAAGAAGCTCAGAGACAGTACCTAGGTCCTGAGTTCAAGCCGCAGGACTTGCCAAAAATAAATATAAAAAGACACACACATATATGTATATATATATTAATATGTAAGTATATTGCTTTATATTTGGTTAAATCTAAGAATTGCAATCATTTAACTTCTTGGTTTTCAACATTAAAGGCTATATTTACTGCCAGAGAATGGAAGAAAGTGACTATTCCAGAAGTACACAGAAAACAACCAAAGACGAGCTATTGAATTTATTGAAGACTATTGATGAAGACTCAAAACTGTCTGCCAAAGAGAAGAAGAAATTGCTAGGTCAGTTCTGTAAGTGTCATCCAGACATCTTCATTGAATATTTTGGAGATGGAGTTTCTAATGTCTGTATATAAGTTTTGTATTTTAATAATAAATTATGTATCCTAAAGATCCACTCATACTTGTAAGCATGGACGTTCTAAATATGTACTTAATAAAAATTTTTCATAACGTTGTGTGTCACAGACTATTAGTACTGCTGTTAAGTGCTGACTACTTAGGTGACTTGATTTATAATATGTAGTTTGTGCTCAATATTTTTTTTTCTTTTTTTTTGGTCGGTTGTGGGGCTTGAACTCTGGGCCTGGGCGCTGTCCCTCAGCTCTTCAGCTCAAGGCGAGTGCTCTGCCACTTGAGCTACAGCGCCACTTCCTGTGCTCAATATTTTATAGAACACCATAATAGGTATTTATTTTATTTTTAAAAATTTTATTGTAGGGCTGGGAAGGTGGCTCAGTGGTAGAGCACTTGTCTTGCATGCCTGAGGCCCTGGGTTCGATTCCCCAGCACCACATAAGCTAAAAGACAAAAGCCGGAAGTGGTGCTATGGCTCAAGTGGTAGAGTGCTAGCCTTGAGCTGAAGAAGTGAGGAACAGCGCCCAGGCCCAGAGTTCAGGCCCCACGACTGGACCCAAAAAAAAAAAATTTATTGTAAAGGTGATGTTAGAGGGGTTACAGTTACATGCATCAGGTAATGAGTAGTTTCCTTTTGAATAGTGTCACTGCCTCCCTCATGAATTGTCAACTTAGAACAGTCTTGTTTTATCTATATTCCTACTCATTCCTTGTTCCTATCCAGCAAATTTCAGATAGCCTATTGTTTCCCTTAACATTTAGTATGTATGGCTAAAAGATAACATAACTGCTGTATCCTTATCATATACTCCTATAATTCTTTAATATCAAATATGTAGTTAATGCTCAGATTTTCTGTTGATCTCAAATGATCTTGACAGATTATGGATCCAGTTTTAATAAATTAATAATGATTTGAGGTTTTTGTGGGGGTTTGGGCAGTACCAGAATTTGAACTCAGCCTTATGCTGAGTTCTACCACTTGAGTCACACTCTACCACTTGAGTCAGACCCTTATCCCTTTTTCACTTCAACTATGTTTTTAGAGCAGATCTCATGTTTTTTGCCCAGGGTTAGCCTGGTACCAAAATCCTGTGAACTTATGCATAACATGGTTCAACCTCACATGAGACTGACTGACTGAGATGAGGATGAACTCCAACCATGATCCTCCCAATCTCTGCCTCTCTTAAGTAGTTGGTATTACCGGTGTGCCACAGCACCAATTAATGTGCTTCTCAATCTCAATCTATTGGTTCTCTTTTGTCCCTCTTCTTTTTCTGTCTTTACTGTTGAATAAACCTAGTTATTTGTTTCCTAGTCATTGAGTTTCCCATAGTCTGAATTTTGCTGACTGCAAGTCTAGGCTGTCCTTCATCATGTTCCTTAGCATTCTGTGCTTTTTGTAAATTGCACCTTAGGGGGTAAAGTAATACCATCTCTTAAACAAGTTAATATTTTGGAATGACTCCAGGCAAGACACACTTGGTAAATAGACCAGCAAAATAATGCAATGCAAATTAGACCAGTGTTGGTCAGTCACATTTTTCATCCTACCTACTCAGGAGATATTATTTGCGAGGTTCATGGTTCAAGGCCAGCCTGGGCAAAAATTCCCATCTTAAAAAAGGTATGGCGGGGCACCTGCTACCCTAGCTATGGTGGGAAGCATAAATAGAAATAGGATCAGGGCTGGGAAGGTGGCTCAGTGGTAGAGTGCTTGCCTTGTATCCATGAGGCCCCTGGGTTTGATTTCTCAGCACCACATAAGCAGAAAAAGCCATAAGTGGCGCTATGGCTCAAGGGGTAGAGTGCTAGCCTTGAACTGAAGAGCTGAGGGAACAGTGCCCAGGCACAGAGTCCAAGCTGCATGACCAACAAAAATAAAAGGATCATGGTCCCGGCTGATCTGAGCAGAAAAAGCAAGACCCTATCTCAAAAATAGCCAGAGCAAAAAAAAAAAAAAGCTGGAATTATGGGTCCAGTGGTGGAGTGCTTGCCTAGTGAGCACAAAGGCTATGAATTCAAACCCTAATACTGCTCCAAAAATACAATTTGAAATGTACACTTTTTTGTAGTTGTTGTTGGTTGTAGCTCAAGGCTAGTGTTCTACCATGGAGCCACAGCACCATTTCTGGTTTTCTGGTGGTTAACCGGAGATAAAAGCCTTACAGACTTTCCTGCCCATCCTGGCTTTGAACAGTCATCCTCAGATCTCAGCCTCCTGAGTAGCTAGGTTTATAGGTGTGAGCCACCATTGCCCGGCAACTTTTTGTATATAATAGGATAAATTTTATATTTTAACTTAGACTTTTAATGAGAGGTTAGGAAATATGAATGATGCAGCAATATGCTAGCATGAGTTATTTTCTGATAAAACTGATACTGCCTTTTCTTCAAATGGCAGAAGATAAGGACTGATAATTATACCTATGATAAGTTTCCCTAATAAATCAGGGAAAATTAGATTTTTCTCTCATAATTTGGAGCCGGGAAAGGCACTTTTTTTTTGTAGTTTTTTTACAATGAGGTAAAAGAAAAGGTAGTTTTTGAGTTAAGTGAGAGGAAGTTTTCTGAGATCCTCATGGTTGGCAGAGCAATTGTGTTTGTGCAGTCCAGTTTGCAATCTTTGTTTTTTCACATAATTACAGCATGATTATTTGGCAACCAAAACTAATGCCTTCAGGGAAAGGCATAAGTAACAGATCAGTGATGTTCCAGCTTTGAAGCAACATTCTTTACAATGCTAATTTCATGGGAAAAATCCAGTAAAACAATAGTTTATTTAAAACTTCATAAGCAAGAATAGGATGTTTTAAAAAATAGGATCATGTTTACTTCAAGCAGTGTCAAAATTTTAAATCACAGGCCCAGCACTACCTCTCCAATACCTTGCATAATCCTGAGTGACTGGCACTGTCAGTTACTGAGAGTTGAATGTCCTCATTTGTTCTTCCATCTATGATGCCTTCTTAGGGCCCCAGGCCCATGTGTATATTTGGTGCTGAGGTGATGAGCTTTGCCACCATCCTAGCAGAGTAAACCAAGGCTAAGCAATTCAACCAAAGGCAGCCTCTGTAGGCTTAATGAGACTTCACACAAGAATCAGTCTGACCAAATTTTATACAGGTAAACCTAAATTATGATAGAGCAAGAATTAACAGACATCAGGAAGAAAAATAAGAAACTCTGTATGCTAGGGGGTTGGCTAGCAGCTTACCTCCAATGCAGCTACCGCTTTTCTCCTCCCGAGTCCTCTGTAGCTTGGCAGTGAATTCCTTTTTACCCAGAGGTGAGTTGAATTTTCCAGTCCAGGAAGCCAAAGATCAAATGAACATGTGTTATACTTATATTTAACCAGTCTTCAAAACATATCAAAAGATTGTTAGTCTCCTTACCAAGTAAAACTTGGTGATAGAAGCCAGGCGTTGGTGGCTCATGTCTGTAATCCTAGCTGCTCAGGAGGCTGAGATCTGAGGACCACAGTTCAAAGCCATCACAGGCAAGAAAATCCATGAAGCTCTTATCTCCAATAAACTATCAGAAAACCAGAAGTGGCGCTGTGGCTCAAGTGGTAGAGTACTGGCCTTGAGCTGAAGAGTTGAAGGACAGCACCCAAACCCAGAGTTCTAGCCCCATGACTGACCAAAAAAAAAAAAAAAAAATTGGTTATAGAAGATCTTCAGGGGCTGGGAAGATGGCTCAGTGGTAGAGCACTTGCCTTGCATGCATGAGGCCCTGGGTTCAATTCCTCAGCATCACATAAGCAAAAAGAAAAAAGCTGGAAGTGGCGCTGTGGCTCAAGTGGTAGAGTGCTAGCCTTGAGCAAAAGCAGCTCAGGGACAGTGCCCAGGCCCTGAGCTCAAGCCCCAGGACTGGCCAAAAAAATTTTTTTTCTTCAAATAAGCCAGTGGCTTATGCCTGTAACCATAGCTACTCAGGAAGCTGAGGTCTGAGGATCACAATTTGAAGCCAGCATGGGCAGGAAAGTCCTTGAGACTCTTTATCTCCAATTAACCTCCAGCAAACCGGGAGTGATGCTCGGCTCAAAGTGGTAGAGTGCTACTAAGCAAAAAAGTTCAGGGAGAATGCTCCCAGGTACCCAGGACCAATAAAAAAAAAATCCTTCAAGGAAGGTAGTGATGTCACTAGGGAAATGAAGTGGTTCCACCCTAGCTACACATTAAATTCATTGGAGTTTTTTGTTGTTGTTTGTTGTGGGGCTTAAACCCATGCCCTGAGTACTGTTCCTGAGCTCTTTTTTTTTTTTTTTTGGGTCCGGTCATGGGGCCTGAACTCTGGCCTGGGAGCTGTTCCTCAGCTCTTCAGCTCAAGGCTAGGGCTCTACCACTTGAGCCACAGCGCCACTTCCAGCTTTTTTCTTTTTGCTTATGCGGTGCTGAGGAGTTGAACTCAGGGCCTCAGGCATGCAAAGCAAGCGCTCTACCACTGAGCCACCTTCCTAGCCCCCCTGATCTCTTTTTGCTCAAGGCTAGCTAGCACTCTACCGCATAAGAGCTACAGGGTCACTTTGAGTTTTCTGGTGGTTAATTGAAGTCTAATGGACTTTCCTGCCCTGGACTGGCTTTTGAATCATGATCCTGAGATCTCTGCCTCCTGAGTTGCTAGGATTACAATCATGAGCCAACAGTGCCTGGTTCTAGGCTTTTCAATCTAATCTCTCTTCCATGGCATCATTCCTAGTTTCACATGATGGTTTTAGAATCACTGCTTCTCCTAATGTTGAGAAACATGAGTCAGAAGTCAGCTTGCTGTTTTCTTTGTGAATCTTAACAAGTCTAGTTAATTGACCAGGTGAGGGTTTTTTCTCCAAAAGTGATTTTTTTTTTTGGTCAGTCCTGGGGCTTGAACTCCGGGGCTGGGCGCTGTCCCTGAGCTTCTTTTATTCAAGGCCTGCACTCTACCACTTGAGCCACAGTGCCCCCTCTGACTTTTTCTGTTTATGTGCTATGTATTGGGAATCCAACCCAGGGCTTCATGCATGCTAGGCAAGCACTCTACCACTGAGCCACATTCCCAGTCACGATTTTTTTTTTGGGGGGGGGACAGGACGGGTAGGTCGTGGGGCTTGAACTCTGGGCCTGGGTGCTGTCCCTGAACTAGTCAGCTCAAGGAGAGAACTCTCCCACTTAAGCCACAGCACCACTTCGGGTTTACTGGTGGTTAATTGGAGATGAGAGTCTCGCGGACTTTCCTGCCCGGGCTGGCTTTGAACCGCGATCCTCAGATCTCAGCCTCCTGAGTAGCTAGGATGACAGGTAGTCCGATTTTGTTTAAATTTCTTTAAGAAGAAGAAGATGGGGGAGGGCAGGGATAGTGGGAGAACAATGCTCGACGGGAAGTGTACTCATTAACGCAAACCCCTTTGTACATCAGCTTTACAGGACAGTTTTTAAAGAAGCAGCAGCGGGGTGCTGGTGGGTGCTGGATCGCCCCGAGGTCTTCCGTCCTCCAGGAGCAACTCCACGCCACTGGGCAGGGTTCCAGGCGTTAGCTGCGCCTGCAGTTCGTAAGCCAGAGCTGCAGGCTAGGGAGACGCCCTGCCTTCACGCTAAGGCATGCATCCGTGCTCCGCTCTGAAAACGCGTTTTCCAACACAACAGCTAAGACTCACGCGTCTTTTCACGATTTAAGACCGGGCAAGGTCGCCAAAGCCTTCTCTGCGGGTAGCTCGCTGCTTTCCCGCCGGCTAGCGCGGCAGCTGCGCCTCACGGCTTCTGAGCAGCCACGGGTGGACCAGCTCCCGCGACCCACACCTCCGGCGACGCATCGGATCCGTTTTCCTCGTGAGACGCTGGGGGCGCGCCGTGCTCAGGAGCGGGTCGCGGGGGGCCGAGCGCGGCGGCCCCGGCGCCCGGGCCCCGCTCTTTGTTCGGGCGTTCGTGAGGTGCAGCAACCTCAACCAGTGAAGACTCAACACCCCCCCGCGGTGCCGCGGGCTCGGGCTCTCTCAGTGCTGGGCGTGGCTCGGGAACAAACCCCGCTAACCCACAATACTCATATCCCGCCGGCGCGTCTCCCTTCCCGTCACTGGATGGACTCGGCGCCCGCCCCGCCGCGCCTTTCCGTACAGCAACATGGCGCCTCCCCGAGGGGGACCGCAGGCCCCGGCTCCGAGCCACCGCCCGCTGCGCCCCCCTCAGCCGGCCCCGGCCCGCTTCCCGCCTTTCCTCGCGGATACGCAGTGCCCTCCAGCTCCGAGCCACCGCTGACCCGGGTCCCTTCACAAGCTGGCACCCGAGCCGCCAAGACTCCGTACGACAACATGGCGCCTCCCTGCGGTGGGAACGAGCTTGCCGGACTAACCGCAGCCTCCCTTTCCCGACGCTGAAGAGCGGTCGCTCCCGGCCCTGGCCCATTCCAGTCGGGCAGAGAGGACCGCGGGCAGCGCGGCGAGCGTTCACAGCCGC